CTTGAACCCAAAAGAAAAGAAGCCTGTGGCAGACCAGAGAAGCAATGGTATTTTAAACGCTAATCTTCTAGCTACTTGCAAAAATATGATAAGCATCTTGATGATACTGTCACAGAAGGTAAAACTCCTTTTATCAGGAGGCTGTAGCTTTTGCAGTGGGTGGCGGATTAACCATGAGAGCTACACTGAAGGTTAGTTAGGGCAAAGGAATAGAGAAGGATGTCATTATGCAGAACCACACTGAATGGTTCTAAACTATTCTAGCCATGCAAATTTAGTTCAGTTGCTGAGTAACCTCAGGGCATAAGAACCTTTTCTGAGCACTAGAAACACATCTAATTAGGGGATCCCAGAAATGGAGTCAATAATTACCACACAGGAAAGCATTTAAAGTGTCACAGGAGAAGAATAAAAAAAAGTTAGATATTGGATAGAAAAGATTAAAAAAAAATCTGCCATGAGTGTTGGAAAATATGGCTATGAAAACGTGCCTAAGGGAAAGTGCAGCTATAACAGTGGCCTGACTGCAGACCTCAAAGGAGAGAGTACGTAGCCCAGAACATCTTGTTTGCCTTGCCGGGATAAAGAGGAGTAATTGTAAGTGAAATCATACATGTTAGTGTCAGGAAACAGTAGAATACCGCTGCTTGTGTGCAGTGAGGAGTGCTCCAAGGGGTCGGATGAGGTGACGGCAGCGCAGCAGTGGATGTCAGGGTCTAATGTCCCAGTCTGGATAAAGGTGATGCCAAGTTGTGGAAGAGAGTGTCAGTCAGGATGTAGGCAAGGAAGCGCGATGAAAAATATCTATTGATTACACACAGGATGGACTTCACTTATTTCTGAAGACAGGAATTGTTTTAGTAGGAAACATCTTAGTGGTTGGTTATGATTTTTTTTCTCTTAAGAAGGCTCCTATTTGGAAGCAGGCAACTTAAAGTCACGGAAGAGCCACAGTAGTTGTCTGAATTAGCATATAATATTTACATATAATATTTACATAGCTCTCTGAGTGCACCTTCTGCAACATCCCACACTCCTTGAACTCCAGCGGCCCATGTCATGCTCACTCCAACCCCAGGGAATTGGTATCTGCTGTTCCCTTTGTCCCACGCAATATGTCCACCCACCCGGGGTCTCTGATCAGAGAACTCTCTTCTCTAAACCTCCAAACAAGCCAGGTAGTAGTGGCACACCATCTCATGCGGGCTATGCTTTTTATTTATGTTCTCTCCAGCACACACCGATATCTAAACATGTCTAATTCACATATATGTGTTCTTCCTGCTTCTTTTCTATTTGACAGAACAGAGAGCTTCTCAACACTCATTGGCAGGACTCTGGAGATAAACCCTAACACACAGTGTGATCTAAAACTGTTTCTTTGAACTCTGTAGTGCCATTGGGAGGATTAAATTACAGAATGGACAGAAACAACCTGGTTAGTTTCTCCTGCATGATATTTCTAGGGTCTAGAACTTCATCCGAATGTAGCAGAGACTCCATATTTGGTACTGGCTTAAGTTTTCATCCCAGGAAGTTCTAGGTGGTAGAATATGCAGGGAGAGGTTTTGTAAAGTCTTGTGTTCATCAAGGTCTAGGACTGGCAACTGGAAAAAAATAGTTTTCCTGGGTTCTATGGGCACTGTTTTAGAAAAACTAAGAATGATGGGAAAATGGATACCACCCCCAGACCCACAAGCCCAGTTGTTTAGGCTTTATCTCCCAAGAAGGGCCCTTCTAGTATGTGGGCTGAAATGAACAGATATGGGAAATTCAGAATTACCAAACTCCTTGAATACTTTATGCAATGGGACTCTGAAAACTTCCGTATGAAAGGATTCTGACCTGAAAACCTGATTATTGTCCCATTCTCTACATTCTATATCAGAAAGTTGAAGTCCTGAGAGTTGAGGAGTTGGAACTAGTCACTTCTCACTCTGCCCCAGTTTGTGGGAGTCTTTCTGCTGCCATGTACTCAGAAAAGATGGGACTGAGATTTTTTTTAAGACATAATCTGTCCTGAAGGGAGCTGGACAGGCTCCAAGGTAGTTTATTAAATCAAAAATTTATATTATTATATTAGAAAAGAGGTACATGCTTAATAATTTCAACCCAGGACATGAGCATATGTCATGCTCGTACTGCTGTGAAAGGTTCCCTATGGTTCATATCTTTAGTGTCTCTGAACTGTATCCTCACACTATGGCCACAGGTTGACCATGTCAGAGAGATCTTTCCCCATACTTGAGGCCTTAAGAAAGATGACAGGCAGGCGGGCAGGTAGAGTAAAACTACTTAGGAGCCCTGGACTTTGGGATTTATTTTAAAGAGAACTGATATTGAAGAGAGAACATTTCCAGATCCAGTTGACAGGAGCTTTTAGGGAATGGCCTGTCTCTGAGGGATAAACAGAAGCCCCACAGCACTGGCAGACACAGATTGACTGGCATTTTATTGCATAATCAAAACTCGGTTATTTCTTTCAGGGCTTATGATTTGCTTTAATGCATACTTTATTTAAACATGTACAGATGAAGTTATTTAAACATGTGTAACATGTCAGGATCTTATCAATACATATAATTAATCAGTTAAAAAAAAAACCTGGGCAAATCCCTGTGTTTTCCAAGAGCATATTCTTGGAAACTGCATCAAAAAGAATCTAACATAAAACCAAGGATACTTCCCGTGGAAACAAGGTTATAGTCAGGGCTCTTGATGCCTTAAAAACAGTAGCTTCAAATAAATCACAGGTATAACCAGCAAGCTCATGAAACCAAAGGTAACACCGTCATTGGAACTTGCCCCCCTCTAACACTGTAAGAGCTGAGCTTCGGGTTCTCTACTACAGTACTTGCTGGACTCAGTGCAACTATAAACTGTACAAGTGGCCCCATTCATAACTACACTTAGAAAAATGTAAACAAAATTAAGATCATCAGATTAAAAATGGAATTATGCTGTAATCAACAGCTGCTTACACAGACTAGCATGTCAGAAAATGGAAAAGTTTATCCTGGTTCAGTAACTTAGTGACCCTTTATGTAACATTCTTCTCAGCTGGTCATTCATAGATTGGATCACGTTTAATCTTTCATATGTATATATATATAATTTATATGTATCATATAATTTATAAAGTGGGAATTAATTTTATAGATGGGCAATTTTTTTCTTCAGAGATTTTTATGTGAAAAACAGATATATGAACTTTGCTCATGAGACTAGGAAGTTACATATAAAATTAGAATAATCATTCTTAGCAAAATTTTCCCATAGTCTCCTCTCTATTCACCTCTTTGAGACTAAGGAAGTCCCTTTAAATGGAGTGTGTTGGGCAGCATGGAGTGACTGAATGAGGAGGGGTAGATTGGGGCATGGTGGTACCCAAAGGTTGTTCTTGGGTTTTGTTTCCAACACAGTTCATTCTAAACTGATCTCATTTCTTAGTGAAAAAACATGCTCAGCTTATGAGACATCAAGCACATCTATAATAATTCAAAATACTCATAATAATAACAATCATACAGACTATCATTTCATGGTGTTTACAGAATGTTTCCATACATATCATTTATCTCCAAATCAGCTGTTATGAAGTAAGCAAAAGATACTCTGAGGCCCAAATCATCCAATTTCCAGTCCCATATACTGAGAATGTCAGTCATTGACTGCGTGCTACTTTCTCACCTCTGTGGTCATGGAAGGGGTGGGTATCTGGCCAGCCAAGATAAGTTGTTTGCATCTCATACTCGGTATTAGAAACAAATCAACCTCAAAATGATGCTTGCCCCCAAATGAATGTCGAACCTAGTGATGGCAGGGAAGCAAGGACCCACAAATACAAAGCAGACTGGTCCAGTTACAAAGTCAATGTGCGAGTTAAAGCTTCAACTCTCTTCATGGTTGACAAGAAGAAGCCTCCAGTCAGGACCACTCTATTGGATCAGTCTTAACATGAACCATCTCAACATGCAATATTTCTTAGCACAGAACGTTTTTTTTTTTTTTTCTCAGCAGCATCTGGGAGTTCTCTCTCAGGGTCTACCTCCTTTAATAAGGCATGGTTTGTGCTCAAGAAAACTAAGTCTTCACATAACAGAGAATCTTTTTGGCATTTGAATGGATTTTTGGCAATCTTCTCTTCCTCATTCCAAAGTCTCATTCCTGCCAAATTCAGTTCCAGAACTAAAGTCATCACTGACAGGAATAGTAAATGTCCCTTCATGAGCAGCTCCAAAGAAGAGTGCAGTAAACAGTCCTGAGGAGGAATCAAACCACAGCCAAGACGAAAGCTAAAGAAAGCATCACTTGGCTCTGAGAAGTGACACTTTCCTCACTGAGACCTTTGCTCTGGGCTAGTTGTGACAAACTGTGGACTTGGTTGTGAGTGAAAGATACTGGGTTAACTGTAAGGGTTTGGCTGACCAAGTCAGAAGTCTAGAAGGGCCAAATCAGGAGGAGGGCAGTTCCTTTGAAACAAAGTCAAAAGGTAGGCAGGCCATGAGTTTTCGAGGTAGCTGATGGCTGGCAATAGCAGCATCCTGTTGTCCTAGAAATGGAAAGAAATCTTCAGGATGCCTCTACTCCAAGCTTCATTTGGCAATGTAGAAAGTTAGTGTTATAGAGGAAAAGATGATAATTCATGGTCTCTCAGAACCGAGGCTGGCGTCTGGGTTCTCTGACTTGGAGTCAGGTATCGTTTTCTCTTTCCTAACACTTCTGGATTCTGAACTTCTCTGTCTAACAGATAGCAAGGGTAACAAGGCCCCACAGTGTGAACTTCCATCTGTTCTGTCCACTGTAAACAATGAAGCCATACTCAGAAGTTCCAAGTTGCTGCTGTGGGCTTTGCCACAAACTCATAGAAAAGATGCCCACATCTCTTAATAGACACCCATAATGCCACCAGCCCTACCTAAGACTCTTTAGGTGTTTCTATCCTAGCTGACAGGAAAGGAAATTTCTCAGATGAGATAGATCTGGTCCTGGTGCTGGGGAAAATCATCTTTGACTTCCCTGCAGGGTTCATGCAGAGACTGTTGTCCACTGACAGATCTCGATTCTGTGTCTCCAGCGGCAAATGAACAAAGACTGGCCTAAACGGAACACTGACATTGAACACAGAAAGAAAGAAAGCGGAGCTCAGTGTGCCTACACCTAGACACAAGAAAGAAAGTGTACAAGTGCCCAGCACAAAGGAAGGCATAAAGAAAGGATAGTGGAGATTTTGATCACAGCCATGGTAGATGTGACCAGGCAAGAGATGTGGCCAAGACAGGCACATATTTTGACAGTATCTGTGAGAAGACACCTCAAAGAAGGTTTATTTAGAAACTGAAAATCAAACACAGTGAATGCTTACGAGACAGACTGGAAACAACAAGGGGACTAGGCCATGAACTTCAGAGACCATCAAACAAGAGGGCAGACTCCAGGAAGAGGAAACGTTGAGAAGTGGAAAACGAACAAGGAAGCCCTTCTCTCCCCTGACTCCCTCACACACCACCTGCTGCAATCCTGGCGGAAAAGTCCTGGGCGCGTTGCTGCATGCTGATGGAAAGCCTTGGAGAACAGAGTGCCAGGAACAGCCACATACACATGGGTAGCAGCTTAGGACTGGCCTCTTTTCGAGCCACAGCTGTCTTCTAGGTCACTGTCCCAGGGGCCTAAGTATCACTGGACTGAGCAGCCACCAAAGGAGAAGTTGCTGTCAGGTGGCACCGACTCTCCCACTGGCCACCACCTTCCACTGCATCCCTGGAGGGGGAGAAGATTACAAAGGCTCAAGCACTGGAATGTGTCAAGGGACTGTGAATAAACTCACCATGCAGGTGCCCTTCATGGGCCATGCACATGGCTTCTAACTTAGCCTCTAAGCTGAGTAACAAAACAGCCAATAATTATTTCTGAACAGCTTTGCCTATTTAGAAGGAGTTCATTAATGTTTGACCCAAATTTCACCCTCCCCAAATTTCTTCCCAGCGGGATTATTCTACATTCCAGGCCCACCCAAACTCCCTCATCTCCCCTGATGGGATATCTCAAGTTTTTTCTTTCCCAAGCCAATAGATTATAGATTATTGTATGTTACATCTTCCATATCATCCCACGTAATGAGCACTGTCCTATGAAAACTAAATATTGTGATGATTCCTCTCAAAGTAAGGCACTTGAAAAGAGCCCAGCACTTCATACACAGCAAACGTGACATAGGCTGTGCCCTTTACTTAAGTGGAGACACCCAATCGATCTCTTTCCTGGCAATGCTAACGTGTTATTGATTGATAATGAGTTTGTCATAAACATAAAAACTCATGTTTGCTGTTCTGATCCCTTTCATTTCTTTCTCTTCTCTTATTGCTCTAGCTAGTGCTTTAAGTGCTGTGTTGAAAAGAGGTGGGGACAGCAAAAGCCCTCTCTTGTTCCTGTCTTCAATGGGTTAGCTTTGTTTTTTTTTTTTTTTGCCCATTAGGCTCACATTGGCTATGTGTTCGTCATATACACATTTTATTATGTTGAGGTATATTTTCTCCAGTCTAACCCTCTCTAGGACTTTTATCATGGAGGCATGTTAGATTTTTGTCAAAGTTCTTTTTTGCGTCTAAGGAGATGATTGAGTGATTTTTGTCTTTAAGTCCATGTATAGGATTGCATGTATTAATTTATGTATAGTAAATCATAGCTGCATCTCTAGGATGAATCCACCTTGATTGTGGTGAAAATCTTTTTGATATATGCCAGCATTTGGTTTGCAAATATTTTTATTGAGAGTTTTTGCATCCATGTTCATCAGGAATATTAGTTTATATGTTTTGGAATTATAGCAGTAACTGAAAACATTTGGAAGTATTTCCTTTGTTTCTATTTTTTTTTTAATTTGAGAGCTATTAGTTGTAGTTCTTTATTGAAAGTCTGGCAGAATTCTGCCTTGAATACGTCAGGATCTGCTCTTTTTAAGGTGAAAGTTTGCATTACTGATTTTTAATCTCCTTATTTGTTATGATACTGTTTAAATTGTTGCGAATTTCTTGATTTAACTTCTGTGGTGGGTAAATATAGACATTTATCCATTTCTTTTATGATTTCTAACTTAATGGAGTGTAAGCTTCCAAAATATTACCTTACAATGTCCTAAATTTCTTTGGCATCTAGTGTAATGTCTATCTCTATTTCTGCTAATTTGGGCCATGTCATCTCTTCCTTCTTTTGGTTAATTGTCAATTTGGCTTATCTTTTCAGAGAACCAGGTCTTAGATTTGTTAATTCCTCACATTGGTCTGTTTGCTTCTATTATATTAATTTCTGTTCTGTTTTTAATTTTTCTTCCCATTTAGGGTATTTGGGTTTGGTTTATTCTTATTTTTCCAGATTTTTGCATTGCATTAGTTCTCTTTCTGCCTTTATAATGAGGGCATTCAGAGCTTATATCGCCCTTTTAGGGCATGTGTCTAATGTGTTTTGTTGTGCTTTGATTTCACTTTTATTTGTTCCCAAGAATTTTTAAATTTCCATCTTATTCGAGACCAGCCTGGTCTACAGAGCTAGTTCCAGGACAGGAACCAAAGCCACAGAGAAACCCTGTCTCGAAAAACCAAAAAAAAAAAAAATTTCCATCTTATTTTTTTCATTGTCCCCTTCATCATTCAGTGGTGTGTTACTTAATCTCCACAAGCTTATGCAATTTCTAGAGATTTTTTTCTTTGAATTTTAGCTTTATTGCATCATGGTCATATAGGTTACACAGTGTTACTTCAATTTTTCTATATTTGTTGAGATTTGTTTTGTGTTTCAATTAATTTGTACATTTCTCTGTTAATTTTTGTCCATTTGCTCTAGAAAAATTGGCTTATAGAAATCACCCATCATTACTGTGTTGTGGTTAATCTTTACCTTGACAGCAGAATGCTTTTTATGAAATTGAGTGTGTCAGAGTTTGCTGTATATATGTGTAATATTTTAATGTCTTCTTGGTTTATATAGTTTGTCTCTTCTGATTATTTTTATGTTATTAGATTGTAATACATTATTGTGAATTTGAGACAAAAAAGAAAATTTGTCTCAGTTAAACTTCATATTCTGGGCTTATTAACCATTTTGCCACTCGAGTGCATGCTATACAAATTTCAGTGTTTCAAATGATTTTGGATACCTACCTACTAAGCCATGTTTCAAATGTCTTCAAAGAGCATAGATGACCTGTAGTGGTCACTACCTAGATATTTCAGTTCTGCCTTTTTGGTTTTCAGCCAAGGGAAAAACACTCAGGCGGGCAGAACGAAGTATGCTCACTATGCTACAAACACATAAGGCTCAACGTGCTTAAGCATGGGCTCATCCTGTACGGCTTTGCCTGATGATCTGTTAAATGTCTCACCAAGCAACTCTTCTGTCCCATGAGAAGATGATCTCATCTTGCATGAGTTACTTTTAGTCATTTATATAATGAAGTTCATAAAATTCCAGTAAAGCCCACTTTTAAGGTGCAACTTTGCAATTTCTAGGGTTTGGCTTTAGTTTTTCTTGAAGAACTGGGGTACTGCTTACTGATGTCTAAGCTTCCCTATTTCACCTGTGCTGCAGAAGAGCCATTTGGAGCTAGCCTTCTGGTCGATGAGAGTTTGTATACTTTGCTCAGATTCAGTTCAGGCTTTTCAGTAACTCTAGACAGCAACTTGTCCCAAAATGTTTGCTATTTTTTCAATGAGAGTTTACTCTTATTGTAGCAGAATATGCAATATTTCCTCCATAAATAGGGAGAAACAAGTGTTTCTGGGATTTCCACTTTCTCTGAACATACTTTGGATTTGGATTTGTTCTTGATTTTATGTTCTTTCTTCTAAATTTTTCAAATGCCATTAACTCTCTAGATAACTCAACATGTACCCTCAAATCACCACAGTATCCGATATCTTCATTTATCACATACGTTGAAGTAGCTATGAAGAGTTAGAGAAAGGTTTAAATAGAAGGGAGAAGAGAAAGAAAGGACTGCTAATATGCCATTGCTTAAGTCTTCATAATGTCCAAGCCTCTTGTTACATCCATAGAAGATGTAACAGTTCCCTCTCAGCAATAGCGAAGGCAGTACAGGACTTTAGAATAAAAGGGTGATGTGGTGACATCATTGGCCTGGAAGAGCCTCAGCATATATTATTAAATTACCAGTTAATACTTTAGTGTGATTGGCCTGAAAGTTTTTTTTTTTTTTTTTTTTTTTTTTTTTTTTTTTATTTTAATTTATTTATTTATTAAGAATTTCTGCCTCGTCCCCACAACCGCTTCCCGTTTCCCTCCCCCTCCCCCGATCAAGTCCCCCCCCCCCTCATCTGCTCGAAGAGCAATCAGGGTTCCCTGACCTGTGGGAAGCCCAAGGACTGCCCACCTCTATCCAGGTCTCCTAAGGTGAGCATTCAAACTGCCTAGGCTCCCACAAAGCCAGTACGTGCAGTAGGATCAAAAACCCACTGCAATTGTTCTTGAGTTCTCAGTATTCCTCATTGTCCGCTATGTTCAGCTAGTCTGGATTTATCCCATGCTTTTTCAGACCTAGGCCAGCTGGCCTTGGTGAGATCCCAATAGAACATCCCCATTGTCTTAGTGTGTGGGTGCACCCCTCGTGGTCCTGAGTTCCTTGCTCGTGCTCCGTCTCCTTCTGCTCCTGATTTGGACCTTGAGATTTCTGTCCGGTGCTCCCGTGTGGGTCTCTGTCTCTGTCTCCTTTCATCGCCTGATGAAGGTTAATATTCCTGAGGATGCCTATGTGTTTGTCTTTGGATTCACCTTATTTAGCTTCTCTAGGAACATGAATTATAGGCTCAATGTCCTTTATTTATGGCTAGAAACCAAATATGAGTGAGTACATCCCATGTTCCTCTTTTTGGGTCTGGCTTACCTCACTCAGGATAGTGTTTTCTATTTCCATCCATTTGTATGCAAAATTCAAGAAGTCCTTGTTTTTTACTGCTGAGTAATACTCTAATATGTATATATTCCATACTTTCTTCATCCATTCTTCCGTTGAAGGGCATCTAGGTTGTTTCCAGGTTCTGGCTATTACAAACAATGCTGCCATGAACATAGTTGAGCATATACTTTTGTTGTATGATAGGGCCTGAAAGTTTTGATTCAAGATAAAAGTTTCTGAGAGATTCAACCACACTAGAAGAGACCGACGTTTGGTGCAAAAGGCAACATTGAAAGTGCATGGCTTTACCATCCCAGGAGCCCCTCTGCTGCCAGCTCACTGTTCTACCCCAGCAGGAGCAGCAGGAGAGTGCAATAAGAAGAACAATAAGCAGAAGACAGGGAGTTCTAGCATGGTGTTAGTCTACAGGAGTGTGTACCCAACTGCACAGTTCTATTCCTGCACCGCATCCCCTCCCCCCATTTGTTAAGTGAGTGGGAGGAGAATAATCCATAAGATCCTTTGTCATTCTGACATTCTGATTCCCTGAGTAGCGGGGATGGTGGGTGACAGACACGGGCCTTTTGATTGGGTGGCAGTTGTGTGGGGGACTGTTCTGCAAAGCTGTGGGTAATTGCTTCACATTTGGCTTTTAATATCCTATTGTTAGTATCTGAGACTTTATATTCCACGTAGAAAGAAGAGGTTTTGATGGAAACACAGGGAGGGCAATTTCTTCATTTGTGTCAAAGAATGGAAAAGCCCTCAGTTTCTGAGCTGTGAAATCACACTCGAAAGCTGTTAAGTAGAACCGTGTGGGGTAGGGTTCAAAATGTAGTGAGACCATAACTGA